AAATACGAATAACTACTCGATGTCTAAAATTGGTTTATTTTCATCGATGACATCACTTCCTGTTACCATTTTTAAAGTTTTAGTTATTCATTCACCATTTGAACTAAAAACCTTTCGGAGAGTATAGAGTTTAATTCTTTAGAATATGTACTTTTTCCAAAAACGAGATGGAAAAAAAAAAAATAATAATCCTAACAAAAACAATAATTTTTATACTACTATGTAGTATAAAAACTAATTGAACATTTCAAAATAATTACAATGTTATGCTATAAACATCTACTTCATTTCATTATTATTATATTATTATTTGACAAGCTCAGGTGAAACATTTAGGCAATTAAACATTAGTACTTTCTTTAAGCATGTCATCAGTCATTTTATTGCACATGAACAATTTCAAAGATTAAATATTTAATATTTAATAAAGTTCTGACAGAATTTTATATATGAATTCTGGAATCTAGCTCAAAAACTGATTTAATTCTGACAAATCTTGCATTGCTTCTTTGATATGCATTTAATTATTGAACACAATCCACAATGTTATGGATACACTGAATTTCTGAAATGTTTTAAAGGACAATATTGGTGTCAGTCATTATCACATATTATGTGATAGAACTCGTTAAATACTTTCCAAATATAATTTTAACACAGAGATCATTGCTGCGATAGATGCATAATGAAGATTCATCAATCGGAAGTGATGAACGCAAAAGGAAAACACGAGTTATCCCTCTATATAACTGACTGAAGTGAAGAGTGATAACAGATAAACAGACGAATTTCTGCTCAATTTTCTTATCTAGTGACAGCCAATTATTTTTCGGAATTGTCAGATATCCTCTTACAGTCTCACATAACAACTTTTGGTCTTCGAAGGAATTATTAGTGAGCAGAAATTCGTCCGTGTATCTATTATCACTTGTCACTTCAGTCAGTTATATAGACGGATAACTTGTGTTTTCCTTTTGCATTCGTCATTTCCGATTGTTGAAACCTTCATTGTGCATCTATCGTAGCAATGATCTCTGTGGTAAAATTGTATCTGGAACGTGTTTAACGAGTTCTATGACATATGTGATAATGACTGACACCAATATTGTCCTTTAATTGTTTTTCATTAGGCTTTCAACTTCGGTGAAAAACTATTGTTATTACTAAGATTAATATTATTTTTTTTTATAGGGGGAAGCTAGATATCAGCAACTATAAGAGATAGAGGTTTGAAATTTGATTTTCTGTGGGAAAAGTGGTGTGCAGCTACTGCTTAAAGCTATTTTGAAATTTGTTCGCATACCGGAAGTGACGTTAAATATGAAAATCGAAAACTGGTCATAACTGTGGGAATTCTCAACCGATATTTCCGATATTTCCATTTTTGGATAGCTGGTTACATATCTGGACAGATAGTAGTTCAAAACGGACGAATTTAGAAACTTTGTCGATTTCATTTTTTGGGTGAAAATTGGAAAATTTTCTAAATTTTGGTAAAATTTTTATTTTTTGGAATTTTTACATTATGATTACATTTTTAGATAGCTAGCGTCGGTCCGATTCCAACGATATAAAAAAATATCCGATTTCGAGCAACTTTAGACGCATGTTTCTCGGAAACGCCCCCAACGAATTTTTAAAAACTTTCTCAATTTAGAGACTAATAGATTGCCTGTTGTGTGAAACCACTGTATCATTTTTTGAAATGTCATGGATACGATATGGAGCATTTTTAGAGGCCTATTTCTCGAAAAGTCAACATAATTCTTTTTTGGAACTTCTTCTACAGAGAGGCCTATCGGTAGTGTTATACATAAAACGATTGTACAATAGTCCCAAATTTCAGGAGCAGCAGAACAAAGGGATCGAAAATTGAACACGGCACCTTTCATTGTTAAGCGAAACATAAGTGGGGGATACAATCTGTACGTTTTGTCAACGTATAGAGTCTATTCAAGAGTGCTTTTATCAGTGATGATATTTGAACTGATATTATTTCAACTATGAGTGTTTTCTTCTTTCCAAAATATGGGTTTAGTGACCCTGTAACAGAAATAGTTGATTGATGTGTGTAATAATTAGCCTTTGAATTAATATTGTTGCTTCTGTGTCAAAATTATCTTATACCGGTAATCATCTGGACAGGTATCGAATATTGCACCTGTGATAAAAGGCATGACGTTGTTTGAGCATGGACTCTGTAATTAAAATTATATTTTTATTACTGACGTCAAATCTTTAACGTGCACGAAACCAGAAAATTGGCGATATTTCATTGAATATTCAATCACTTTTTGAACCAGTTACATATTTGAGTAGCTGACATGAACGCGATTCCGAAGTCCCGTGTACACATTGGTGTGACCATAAAAGATCCCTTGGCGGTTGGAATTCTGTATAAAAGAAGACTAGCGCCGCTGTACGAGCATGTTTAAAGATCATTTCGGGACTAACATATGGTTTATTTTGTTTTATTTCAATAATTCGATTGCACGTAGGGGTCTTTAGCAGTTGGAGGAAACCGGAGGACCAGGAGAAAACCCACGAGGTTGGACAGGCGACATACCCATTGTCCGTTCAACCGGGGAATCGAAACCCAGCCAGTTGACTCAATGACAGACTGTATGATACAGCACAGTCCCAAAGGCTATAGCCTACCGTGTAATTTACAGCCAGCATAACGTATCTATATAAGAGACATTTATTCCTACTGGCGATTTACAAATATTGCATGAAGAAATTCAAATCATAAGAACATAAACACCGACTAATGCACAGTATCATATTGATTATAAAAGTACAATGTATATATTGGTTATACTATATATGTCACAAAACAACAATCATTAGATAATAATGATTATTTACTAATTATATAAATCATTTAAGAGGTAGGAGTTATCCATTGTTTGATTTAACAGTTATATAATTACCATGGTTAGAAAGGTACGAACAATTAAGGTACTTAAAGAGAGAGAGAGAGAGAGAGAGAGAGAGAAATGGGGTTAACGTCCACTCAACACAAACTAAGTCATTTCGGGACTGACACATGGTTCAATTTTATTTCAATAATTCACTTGCGCGTAAGGGTCTTTAGCAGTGGGAGGAAACCGGAGGACCCGGAGAAAACCCACGAGGTTGGACAGGCGACCCTACTCCTTGTCACGTACAACTGGGGATTCGAAACCACACCAGTAGACTCAATGACAGAATTTATGCTACAGCACGCACGCGCTAACCATTCAGACATGCACCCCCCCCAAACCAAATGATTACGAAAGAACATAACGCTATAGACTTTTATAATAAGACATATAATACATGTTTAATCTATATATATATTTGTGACTGTCGTTTGTCTGTCTGTCTGTCTGTCTGTCTGTTCGGGGTTGGCGGCTACCCTAGGTCTGCCCCGAGTCTGGAATTTGATGTATAGGGGTAGCTCGGACCGGGGAATAACATAGGCCAGGTGGCGTTAGTCTACAACTTCTGGTTTCGGAGTTATGACCCCCGAGCGAAGCCGGTCTGTTCGGGGTTGGCGGCTACACTAGGTCTGGCCCAGTCTGGAATTTGATGTATAGGGGTAGCTCGGACCGGGGAATAACATAGGCTAGGTGGCGTTATTCTACAACTTCCGGTTTCGGAGTTATGACCCCCGAGCGAAGCCGGTCTGTTCGGGGTTGGCGGCTACACTAGGTCTGCCCCGAGTCTGAAATTTGGGGTATAGGGGTAGTTCGGACTGGGGAGTAACATAGGCCAGGTGGCGTTAGTCTACCACTTCCGGTTTCGAAGTTATGACCCCCGAGCGAAGTCTTTCTGTTCGGGGTTGGCGGCTACACTAGGTCTGCCCTGAGTCTGAAATTTGGGGTATAGGGGTAGCTCGGAACGGGGAGTAACATAGGCCAGGTGGCGTTAGTCTACCACTTCCGGTTTCGGACTTATGACCCCTGAGCGAAGCCGGTCTGTTCGGGGTTGGCGGCTACACTAGGTCTGCCCCGAGTCTGAAATTTGGGGTATAGGGGTAGCTCGGACTGGGGAGTAACATAGGCCAGGTGGCTTAGTCTACCACTTCCGGTTTCAGAGTTATGACCCCCGAGCGAAGCCGGGTATCCTGCTAGTATATATATAAATGGCAATGTCCTACGCTAACAAATAATGAAATATGATAGTATCAGTAAATATAAAAAAACAAAGTAGTCGCGAACATCCTGGCTCTTGACTGCTTCAGTTGTTTGATCCTGGACTCTGTCTGTAATTAATAGTAAATTTTACATGTTAGTGACGTCAAATCTTTAACGTGCACGTTACATATTTCAGTAGCTGACATGAACGCGATTCCGAAGTCCCGCATACACATTGGTGTGACTGTAAAAGATCCCTTGGCAGTTGGAATTGTATATAAGAGTAGGCTAGCGCCGCTGTTCGTTCGAAACATTCCTCATGGTCCATTCCGAGCAGAATGTCGTTAAACCCCATGTCATTTTACTTTGATATTAATATCTATTGCGACATTGCTTTTCGTCCATTTCGCGAAACTGTTCTTTTTCCATTTCGCGTAGATCAACTTTATTTTTCGATTCCCTTCTATCGTAATGCCCATGCAAAGAACATGTCAATATCTGAGTTATGCAAATGTGTATTTTTATTTGGGGGGCGGGGGAGTGTGTGTTTGTTTAGGGGGTGAGAGGTGGGGATAGTCTTTTGTCATGCATCTGGCGATTGTGTGACGCCTTGGCACGGTGAAAGCCTTCAGTCTTGCAGGCAAGTCTAGTTGTTATTGTTGCATATTCTAACTATATTTATCCCTCATCCATATATTCATATCATTTGCTTAATAAAGACGAGAGTATCCTCGCTGAAATGCTTCATAATAATCAATTCATTAATTGGGTATCCATAAAATTGTACCTTGTGTAATTTTGCATTGCAATGTAAAAATACCTCATTGATGCAAGACACTTCCTGAACAATAAGATATAGTATTTCTTGTTCAGACTAACCTTGACTTCTGATTGGAGTGGTTTAAAGTTCCATCGCATACTAGAAGCAACATCTGCATTAAAACGAATTTTTAATATTCGATCTTTAACTGCTGTCATATTTTCTACTTTATCTATGTCATGCCCCTGAACAGCTTTTCCTCCTAATCCTGTGGCCTGAAATGAAGTTTACTGGTTAATAATAATACATACTTTATGCCAAACCATTTAATCCAATCGCTTAGAACTAATGTAAATAACCCTATACCAAGGTTAAAAGATAATAATGCAACAGTGTCCCAACAATTCTGCTTTCCTCCCGAATGATAACAGTGAACACAGTAATCAGAAATCATTGAAGATTTCCAGACTTTTTTGTTTCACTACTGTAATCGATGTATATAAATTTAGAATACAAAAATACTCAACAAAATGGTCAAGGGCCAGACTTCTGGAATTGATAATCAAAAATCACTAAAAATTAAATATGTATTCCACTCCACTAAAACATACATGTATATGCATTTAAACAAACAATGCATATAAATTTCCATATAGGGCCTCCTGCAGATTCTATAAATATTAAATTGCTAAAATGGAATACAATTACTGCTTATTTCTGAGTGATGTTTTTATTATGCTTTTCAAGTCTTTATTAGTAATAAGCAGTAATTGTATTCCATAGTATTGTGACCAGTATATTTCTATAAATATTGTCATAACTTACCTGACAAAACATTCTATAGAGAGGTACACCAGCATAACTCATACCTAACATAAATATACCAGCAGCACATATATAGATGGTCACAGACTGTTTATGTTTAGATGATCTTGAAGAATTCTGTGACATACATCTTACTGCCATATGTTGTAGATTCAAACATTTGGACAGTTTATTAACACTTGTTTTTTGTCCAGCAGTAGAGTTTACAAACCGTGTGTGATTATTATGGAGGTATCTAATTGTTTGTAAATTTCTAAGAAAACTGTTCTTCATCACTGGATTTAAAATATTTCTCACACAACCAGGATAAAACATTGTTGGTACCGTAGTCAGTACTCAAATTCATCAATCAATCAGGGATATGTATTTACTTTATTTCTACACAGGAAAAAAAGAGAGAAAATTTAGATTTTTTTATTTGTAAAAGTCTAACTCTACGGTAACTGAAATCTGCATATAACAAGAAAAGTAAATATTATTTTCCAGATTCCTTATACTCTTATTTTTATATAGCTTATATAATGCCTCTGCATTCGTAAATAAGTACTGGTAACAGAAAACTGATATGAGTTATTCAGATATTATTAGCTAGTAGACCACTTATATTGTATCCATCACTCTTGCTGAGAACGGGGGGTTGGATGGCCGAATGGTTAGCATGTGCGCGCTGTATCATAAGGCCTGTCATTGAGTCAACTGGCGTGGTTTCGAATCCCCGGTTGTACGTGACAGGGAGTAGGGTCGCCTGTCTAACCTCATGGGTTTTATCCGGGTCCTCCGGTTTCCTCCCACTGCTAAAGACCCTTGCGCGCAAGCGAATTATTGAAATAAAAATTAAACCATATGTTAGGCCCGAAATGACCTAGTTTGTGTCAGTGGACGTTAAACCCCACCTCTCTCTCTCTTGCTGAGAACAAATGGATCATAAAAATTATAATGTGCGCATTGCATTGACCCAATACTGGTAGCCTATACATTTCATATAAAACTGTAACACTAGCACAAGAGAAGGTTTTCAGAACTAAACAATCAATTACTTAGAAAATGTGATAGAGGCCTATAGGGGCAGTTTATCAATACTATCAGTCATCAGTCATTGGAGTCATATTTTAATTTGACATTTTTAATGGATATATATATTGCTTGAAGGCTACATCACAGATTAGTCTTACTCTTAGGGCCCGGCTAACTGATGTATTCACCGGAATAAATCTCCAAATTGCATCTGAATTATATAATACAACTTTACTCAAAACTATTTATGATATATAATACAGGACGGAGGGCCTGACAGCTGTCTAGTCATTCAGATGAGACGAAAAACTGAGGTCCCGTGTACACATTGGCGTACACGTAAAAGATCCCTTGACAGTTGGAATTCAATAAGACTAAGAGTAGGCTGTGGTGCCGCTGTCCGAACAAAATTTCCCTCATAGCACACTGTATGGTGTATGCCTGTCTTCATTAGCCCAGTTCGGAGCAAAAAAGTAGGACGTTAAACCCCATTTCATTTCATTTATATAAGGCGTTTTAAAATTTTATCGACCACTGATTAGCCAAAGTGATTTGCATTCAATCACATGACACACATGACACATGTTTTTTTCAACTGTGTCCAGCCACAACAATTGTTTACAGCTAATCGGAGCATTTAACGAACTCGCCAAAGTACTTTGAAATCGGCTATACTGTCACATGACATCTCCACTAAATTCAAATCGATTTGGCAAGTCGATAAAAAAGCCTATAATATGACATGTCATGTAGGTTAGATCTAAATATTAAGGACACCTGCAGATTTCGTCAAGGTCACAAAATATGTAAACAGGCTGGCGCTGACTCCAACCCTACACTAAGACCTAGCCCTAAGACCTAGCCCTTACCCTATTTTCAGCCTGTCCGAATTTCCGGATTAGCAACACTGTCATATTTCCAAGCCACCAACTGAAAGAAAGAAATAAATGCCGTAAACTTATATTTACAAAATAAATTGACCTTCCATGGGCGCGGACATGTTTGCCTTGACCTTTCAACCCAGAATTGACTTCAGTTACTTTATAATGAAAAGACATACAAAACAAAATGCTGGACAAACAGATCTATAAAAGGCACACCTTTACGACATCAAACAAAACTATGAAAACTCCAGTTGTTGATTATTTATCATTCAGATACAATTAGTTATTAATAAATTTTATATAGATATGTCTACATATGTATGTCGGATTCAGATAATTTTATATAGGCCTACGCAAAATTGTTAGGCGAATAACGACATATGTTATACGGTATGGTGTCGGGTCTGACATGTGAGGATATGCAACGAACAGACTTGATTGCTTTTTTCGTACTAAACTTGTTAAATTTATGTTAAATAAGGTTTAATTATAGTCGCAATAGTGACAGATTAAACGTTTTATCATGGGTATTTTAGAAAAAATTGCTGAAATAGAACGGGAAATCGGTAGAACACAAAAAAACAAAGGTAACTGTAGTGTATAACAAAAACTACAATCTGTTCTTAAACTGAAAAGGAATTTTGCCGGCAAGAATAATACGATGCTACCGTCACAGACAAGTACCCGCGATACCATTCTCAGCCCTTCTGTACACTAAAGAGTACCTGATCACCTGAAAATAAAATATATAACACTACCTAGTTCAGCTCTGAACGTAGGTCTCATTACACTCGACCTCTGCGTTAAGGGACCCTTCTATTGAATCCTTGTCGACCAGATTTGGTTTCCCAGTCAATTTTACTGCTAAACGGTCGCGTGTCAGTCCCTGTGAACGCCTGAACAATATAAATGAACATCTTAGTGAGAAAATAAGACCTTGCTTACCTCGCTAGAGTCATTATGAGCGACACAACACGCTGTTAAAAAATACGTCTCCGTCTTCTAACCGACTTGGCGGACATCATTGAAAGGGTAACGCACAAATTTAAGAACTCGGCCATATAAGATGAAACGAAATTTAGGTAAGCCTGGGAGAAAAAAAATGAAAGATGTTCATTTATATTGTTCAGGCGTTCACAGGGACTGACACGCGACTGTTTAGCAGTAAAAAGTTACCCAGTAAAATTGACTGGGAAACCAAATCTGGTCGACAAGGATTCAATAGAAGGGTCCCTGAACATAGAGGTCGAGTGTAACGAGACCTACGTTCAGAGCTGAACTAAACACTACCTAGTTCTACTACGAACCGTCTCTGATCGGACGATGTCCGCTGACAGTTCCTATTCGTTATTATTTGCTCTAAAAATTAGAAATACGACTTGCATACTTACTAATTAAATCTACATGTATTACGTGTAGGTTCTTTAAGGCATGGCATGTAGTTAGTGGTAGATAAATTGATACTACTTATTGAATCAATTTTGACTTTCAATGACTATATAAATTATTGTTTATTGGGTATATTCATATGTGTGAACACCCAAACCTAAAACAGAGCTGAGACTAATAGCTTTTTCATATACAATTACAAAACTATAATTTTCGTAATTGTGTCATCAACTGTTTCGATACATATGGCATATTGTCACCCCTTTGTACAAAATTATCTATCCTGATGAGTAAAGTAATTAGCTTCCATTTTAGTATTTCCTGATGAGTTCAATATTCGATTCAATTGAAATGATCAATTGTTGTTCTGTTTTTTGGTGCATTTTGATTTCTAGAAACCATAAATCTTTCAAATCAATATAGATTCCTTAGAGACTATCAAAATTGACATCGGAGAAAATTTTATAATTCGACAAATGAGGTGACTTGTTTCCATGGTCTGTTATATTACACTTTACTAATCTGTAGAAATAAAATCAAAGATGTATGTGTATATGTTTCGCCTACCACGCTTTGTCTCCGCACTTCACCCCAACATGTGTGGTATCACATTAACCAGCATGACCCTGTAAATGTTTTAGTCCATTGAATTTCAATCTAATTAAAATATAGGTCTATATTTCGTTTCGTTTTTTATACTTTCGATGGCCTACACTACATGTAGATCTAACAAGTTATGACGTCAGGTACCAAGCAAGCGACATTTGACCCCATTACGTCGGTCATTCGATTAACCAATTAGCGTTGCCTAGTATTTTTTATCTACATTTGCTTGGTTTTGATTTCTATTGCCGCTAATGTCTACCCACAGTTCCGCGCAAAAAAGGTCAAACGCTCGATTCGACAGACCATTTGATTGGCTGACCCCTCATTTCAAGCAGAACACAAGTTAAATAACAACGCTTCCAGATTCAAGTGTAGTAAAGACAAGTAAAATCGAAATTTTGAACTATAAAAACGAAACGAAATTGGATCTGTGTTTTAATCAGATTGATCGAATTTGGACCCCGGGCAGATCAAGCTTCATTGCCGTGCTCCACCCCCACATGTGGTATCAAATTAACCAGCATTACCCTCTGAATGTGTTAGGCCATCAAATTTGGTCCTCGGGCGAAATTGGGTCTCTCCCCAAATCTAGGCCCCGGGCAAAGTCATGTATTCTGCTAGTGTCAAAATAAAGTGTTGATTTCCTATGATTAATGATGAACAAGCACTGTATACTTTATTTTTCTTAGGCTTGTTTACTGATTTTAGTTTCATGGTTGTATTACTCTTTTCAAAGCATTTTACTAAACAAATCAACTAGTCAGGTTTTAGTTCTTGGTCTCTGGTTAAAGGATCTTACTTTACAATATTGGTAACTCTCTGAATCCATGGAAATTTACTCTCATCTCAGTTATTGATTAGGCAAAATGATGTATTATTGTTTTTATAATAATGTCTGTTTTAATGAATGTTTGATATTTTAGCTACTGAATACCATCTTGGTCTTTTGAAAGCAAAGTTGGCAAGATACAGACAACAGCTGTTAGAACCTTCATCAAAATCTTCAGTTAAGGTATCACATTTAAAATTAATAAACTTATATTTTAGTATGCAATTCAGGCCAAAATGGTTTTTAATAGATAATGAGTATTTTCTATTTATTTTGTGGCTGAGGCTCAGGGAAATGTGCAGGAAGTCTCTTTTCAAAGTGGGCCACTTGTTTAGAACATCAATGCAAAGGAGGATCTTCACAATTGTCTTATTTTTATCCGATTTTGACAAAACTTGAAATATATGTCTATCTTCCAAAGATGGCATGTATCTGACCATAACTTCATGGAATATGGCAACTGATTGTACGAAAAATCTTGTTTTTAGTTTGTGGAGTCTCTAGAGGTCACATTTTCATCTGATTTTTATGTAACTTGAAATGCATGTTTATAACCCAAAGATCTTGGTTCCTTTCGATATTTGCGCATATCAGATCGTAACTTCCTGAATTATGGCCTCAGATTGTACGAAAAATCGTGTTTTTAGCTTGTGGTCCCTCTAGAGGTCACAATTTTTATCTGATTTAAAAAAAACTTTCAAATATATCATCATTACACCGTAATTTTGGTTGAGTTTGAAATTCGTGAAAATCAGACCAAAACTGTCGGACAAACTGGCCAACCCCCGTACGCAAATAGTGTAAACATAGGTTGTGGATGCTCTAGAGGTCACAAATTTGATCCGATTTTGATGAAACTTGAAATACATGTTTATAAGCCAAAAGGTCTTGGTTCTTTTCGTTAATCGCACATATCAGACTGTAACTTCCTAGATTATGGCCCCTGATTTTATGAAAAATCACTGTTTTAGCTTGTGGACCCTCTAGAGGTCACAATTATTATCCAATTTAAAAATCGTTGAATATATCACTGTTACACCGTAATGTCAGTTGAGTTCGAAATTCGTGAAAATCAGACCAAAACTGCCGGACAAAATGGTCGCCCCTCGTAGGCAAATAGTGTAAAAATATGGTATATCAAAGTTGTGGACCCTCTAGAGGCCACAATTTTTATCCAATTTTGATCAAACTTTAAATTTATGTTTATATCACAAAGATCTTGGTTCCTTTCGATAGTCGCGCATATCCGAAATTAACTTCCTGGATTATGGCCCCAGATTTATCGATAAATTGCATTTTTAGCCTGTGGACCTGCTAGAAGTCACAATTTGTATTCAATTTTTAAAACCGTTTAAATATATCACCATTACACATCAATCAAGGTTGAGTTCAAATTTCGTAAAAATCTGACCGAAACTGCCAGACAAAATGGCTTCTCCATGTACGCAATTGTTATCAGATTTTGATGAAACTTAAAATATATGTTTATGTCCTAAAGATCTCGGTTTCTTCCGCTATTTGCGCATATCATAACGTAACTTCCTGGATTATGGCCCTTGATTTTACGAAAAATTGTGTTTTTTAGCTAGTGGATTCTCTAGAGGTCACAATTTTTCATCCGATTTTAAAAACCGTTTAAATATGTCACCATTCCACCATAATGAAGGTTAGATTTAAATTTCGGGAAAATCGAAACAAAACTGCCTGACAAAATGTCAGCTCTTTGTAAGCAAATTGTGTAAAAGCATGTAATACGAAGGTTGTGGACCCTCTAGAAGTCACAATTTTCATCCGTTTTGATGAAACTTAAAATATATGTTCATGTCCCAAAGATCTGAGTCCCTTTCGATATTTGCACATGTCAGACCATAACTTTCTGGATTATGGTCCCTGATTGTACGAAAAATCGTTTTTGTTTTTAGCTTGTTCTCTATCCATCGCTTGCAAAATGTCGGCATATCTTGCCTGGCAACCGCTGGTTGTTTGTTGCTGTCGGTAATGTGTGTCGCTATTTGTTGACTATGTGGGTTATACAAAATCTAAAAGCATCAATGTGCAGCACATTCTGTTAGTTTTCAGGCAGTCTAAATGCATTATTATCATGCGTTGACTGAAGTTAGGGAGGGATATTAAAATGGATTCCTTCGGTCCTTTAGGGCAGGCATGTATTTCATAAATTCTGTACACCCATAAACCTTTTATAGTTGTTTTTCCTTAATTAGAAATTTCTAAGATTTAATGGGACCCTAAATATACTTCATATTTAATGATTAAATTGTTGGATTGATTTTTAAGGGTGATGGTTTTGATGTTATGAAATCAGGAGATGCAAGAGTGGCATTGATAGGATTCCCTTCTGTTGGTAAAGTAAGTATATCAGTGAAAAATGAAAAATAAAAGATACTGGTGCACGGTTTAAGCTTGAACCTGAAACAAGAAATTATATGTGAACTAAATCAGTAGATATTCGAAGTAAAATCCAAATTTTTATGAAATGTTTATGTATGAATTTTTCCAGAAATTTAGCTGTGTGGATATTTTTAATTGTTTTTTTTTTCAGTCAACACTGCTGAACACATTAACAGCCACACACAGTGAATGTGCTTCATATGAATTCACAACATTGACCTGTATTCCAGGAGTTATTGAGGTAACAATACAATTTATTATCCTTTTTGCAGACCAATATATTGAAAAGAATAATTTTTAACAGACATTGCAGGCATATGTGTTTAAAAGTTATAAATATAAATGATATATCTTATTAATACATTAAAGTATAATAAGAAATCTGTATTTTTCAGTATAAAGGTGCTAATATTCAACTGTTAGATTTACCTGGTATCATTGAAGGAGCTGCACAAGGTAATTTAAAGTCTGTGATTGTCATTTGAGGGATTTTGAATCAATAGCAAACTGCCATATTCGAAAAACAGCCCAAAAGTGGTTTAATTCTGTTCAGTATTATATACTAAACGGCAAAAAAACGTCGGTACGATTTCAAAATCAGAGAGGCACTTTTGGAACACCACAGGACCCACTCTCTGGTTCAGGCCGATTCTACCCCAAATCATTATGCTTGGACCTCCCCATAGTCTCGTTCCATGACACATTAGTCAGAATAACGCTGGCCACGTTGACACCATATTCTGGTCCTACCATCTGCATTTGATACGCAATACCGACTCATCTGTGAACAGAACAGTTCTCCATTGCCTGTGTCGCCAGTTCTGGTGTTTTGTAGCACCATGGGTCTTTTGTCAGACGTGGAGAGCGACCCAGGAAACCGGTCACCACATCTTACATACGACCCATGCATCTTTTCTTACTACATATTTCTGTAGCCTTGTGATCGTCTAGAATTTGTCTCTAGCTGTCTTTACTTCTGCTTCACGTTGTGTATTTACTTCTTAATGGTTTCTCAAGACGTTTGTCTTACTAGGAATAACAATGTAACAGTTTGCTTCTACATTTTATATATATATAGCTGAACACACATATACGAAACAACACAAATTACAATACTAGCTAAAACCATTTCTCCTCCCTAGCCAGCCTCGCGGCTGTCTAAGAACTCAGATGGACCCTCTCTGGAATCTAATGGAAGTCTAACTAATTCTCACAAGTATGATTAGTTTTGCAGCTGTGGGTTTTGGACGTTCAATTATCTAATTGGTCAAATATCATGTAAATAAGTATAGAGATTGGTAAAACAAGCTAAATGATGCAATCGTAATTTTCCGTCACATGTTTCTCGACACAATCTATCCTTGAACTCAGACCCTCTTTCCTGTTATTCTCACGCTATTTCATAAACAATTAATTTGCGTTTTAAATAAACTCATACCATAGCTAATATACTGACAATAGAGAATAATTTGTAAAGATAAAAAATGTTGTTTAACCCATCTTATTTCTCTATTCCTTGTCTATAAATTTAAAAACAATGTTGCAACGACGATAGTGCTACAGTTTTTGGGCAAACTGTAGACGTTCACGTCAATGGCGAGGGGTGAGGATCGGTCCACGGTAAGGTCTATGCCAATGGATATTCTCTCTGGTGAGACGTTGGCGCACTGTATCGGTACTGATGGGTCATCCGTGTGTTCCCTTCATCTGACGTGCTGTCTCAGATGCCTGTTTGAAGGGATTCTGCACGCACTGTCGCACAACATGGCGGTCTTGTCACCTTGTGGTAACCCTTGGTCTACCAGTTCGGGGGCGGTCATCTGTTGGTATGGGGGTACATTTTATAGAGCTGGTCCTAGTGAACAGCACGTGCAACATGAGTTACATGAAAAATATGGAGAACACATTACCATCTCAGAAGGTTGCGTTTTTGATAACATTTCCTGGGTTCTATCTGTGTTTGGGAAGGAGCCTTATTGTTCAGGTAAAGTTGGAGATGTGTTCACAAATATACAATAAAAACATTTGTTAAGTTTTATGCAATGCGTCTATTCAGAGTAACATATCAACCTGACGTTTCTTTTGCCGCATAGTATATAAATAACTTTACATTTAATAAAATCAGGTAGATAATTTATTTTTCTTTTTTAGGCAAAGGTAGAGGTCGTCAAGTAATTTCTGTAGCTAGAACAGCTGATTTAGTTATTATCATGTTGGATGCAACCAAAAAGGATGTTCAGAGGTAAACAGAAATATTTTGTAAACACTTTGCACTTTTATATTTCTTTTCAAGTACACATTTATTACTAAACTAAATAATTCTCATAAAAAGCAGCCACTTAATTAGAGAAGTTATTATATTTTATTCTAGAGAATTATTGGAAAAGGAACTGGAAGCTGTTGGTATTCGACTGAATAAGAGAAGACCAAATATTTATTTTAAAGTGAGTAGTGATTCTGATTATTTATCAGTGTTAAGAAATAATGATAAAAGTTTAAATTTCTTTCAAATAAACCTTTAATTTAAAATTGCACATTCACAGATCATCCAACAGAAAGATGGTAACGGGTATAGAACTAATGTTAAAGATACATTATGGGAGATTAGATAAAGAGCTGGTAGTTCTCACTTTAATAGTTAAATACTAGATAATGTAAAGGGAATTTGCTGAAAATTTCATTCAAATTGATCCACCCTGAACCGAGTATTTAGCGATTGAATTTTGGGCCTAGCCTTGATCATCATTACTAAAGTCAGTACGATAAAAAACATAGTCTTGATTATCCATTTTTTGATTTAATCAGAAGCAGCAGACCAGGTTCTAATCCAGTAAATATCGCAGGCTAGCAATGCTATCGAGAGTTGATTATGGTCTGGATAAGTTAATGTCTAATTTATAATTTAGATAACATTTTAGACCAAAAGAAAGACCTGCAATTGGCAGAATTAGCTCTTGCATAATGTATGTTTAATTCAGGATATCGACACGCTTGCTTTTGACAATCCCCTAGAAAATAGAATCTATTATTATAATCTAGATGTTCTTTTTGTTGCAATTCTTCTGTTGGCCAAACTATTCTGGAAAATCAGTGTTATGGAAAATATTATGCCAAATTTTATGTTTCACCAAAAATTAAAATGGACCTATATGTATTATTTTAATAAGATTTCAATTCAACAAAGTGTACTTATTTTGATAATTACCATTTGATGATTTTGTTCTCATGTATGTCAATATTCTGACAATATTACACAAAGATATTTTTGTCACATTGCAGCATAAAAAAGGAGGAGGAGTATCTTTTAATTCAATGGTTCCTCTTACAAAATGTAATGAAAGAATGGTTCAACTTATTCTTCATGATGCCAGTATCCTTTTAAATGTATGATTGTAAATTGAGGAGTAACGTTCCCTTTTATATTTTGACTTGTGAACACAATAAACACGTTCTCAATATATGTGTTTTTATAAAACAAAGCAATTGTTTAATGAAGAACCTACAAAGATTGTGTATTTTTCAATTGCAGGTCCAAAGTTATATTTCAGTTGCAGGTCCAAAGTTTAATATATTTCAAATATAGATTATTTTGCATTTAATTGAGAAAACAAAATCAAAATATCAGTAGTAGATAATCTCCCGAATTGGATTCAGTCAGATTAAAAAGAAGTCCATAAAATGATTCAACAAAACTCACAGTGCCATGGGTTGACTATGTCCTATATATATCATCTGGAGTAGATGCTGAATGTTTACAAAATATTGAACGGAATCTAACCATTTTTAGACTGAATATTCTTTTAAAGATTCAACTTTCACAATATTATAGTTTGCTAGTTAATAATTATCACTGAAATGTGCAGTGACTTAAAAACAATTTGTAATATTTGGGGATGAATGTTATTGCCCATATCAGAATTAAAAATTTGACTTAAATTCTTTTGGATCGAACAGATACATGTAGTCTCAACCTTTTAATAAATATATTTAATTTTTCCCTTAAAGTTCACAGCACTGACAAAAAATTACATGTATTATTGTCTTTAACTTTAACCTAGAAATATTTAATTGTGAGGTTTTATTTAGAGAAGACTGCACAACAGATGAATTTGTTGATGTTATGATAGGGAGTCGAGTTTATTTACCTTGTTTATATGTAAGTCACACTAAACAAATACATATTGGTTTATGAGAGTAATTAATCAAGTATATGTTTTACTATTCTAGAAAGAATGCAGTTATTTTTAGTTTTATAATACACCATTACGAAACTTATTGAAATATAAATTTCACTTGAAAAGTATATTATCAAGTACATGATGATTATGTAAACAATTAATGTTTGTGTATTTTCAGGTTTATAATAAAATAGATCAGATATCTATAGAAGAAGTTGACAGATTAGCTCATCAACCTCATTCTGTAGTAGTTAGGTAATTATATACTTTTATTTGTTTACTTACGATTTCTTTAGTGCAAATTTTTGTTACATTGGCAAATTGATTGGTGAATTTCTTGGATTCTGTATAGTGTGTCAAGGAAAATAACTCTGTCCTAATGTTCCTAAGTTCATATTATCTCCCCTTAGACTACATTCTAGAGTTATTGATGTTGCTCGATTCACAGTCCAAAACGTCCAGAATTGACAGTATTGCAATCGAGTGACGCAGAATTCAGTCCTGTCACAGTTTGTCAGTCCCGACAACGGAGGTGGTGTGAGTAGAATCGTGACATAATTAAACACAACGAATATGTTTCGGCTGCATGGTTGGTTGAGATGTTTACTTATCAAGTCGACACATGCATTGTAGCCCAAAATACCCCCTTTCACTCGATTGTCACTATTCTTGGGCTTGAGAGAATTCAATTCCAGAACATTCAATCAAGTGCCCACATTGTCTCTCTCTCTTTTTCAAGGCAATTTGTTTTCTTTTCAGCTGCAATATGAAACTGAACCTTGATTATTTGTTGGAAATGGTCTGGGAACATTTGGATTTAATCAGAATTTATACAAAGAAAAGAGGAGGTAAGGGATGCTTTTTTGTTTAAAGAAAAATTTATTAGGGATAGTTTATCTTTATGAAATTATAAATATGTGATATTTACAGTTTAGTACATTATTAGTGATAATTTCTTTTTATTTTAAGAACCACCAGATTTTGGAGATGGTCTGATTATGAGAAGAAACTCTACAGTGGAGCATGTGGTAAGTTTTATTATCAGAAAGACAAGTTGCAGAAATACTGCTCAACAATCCAATTGTTTACTTTTATTTTTTAAGAAATTAAAGGAATTCATACTCTTTATGTCAAAGATAAATTATCAGTGATAGAAAGAAATTGTAAATAATTTTGTGTGCCTCGTGTGACTTTTTACCCAATTCAGTTTGCTGTTGGACATATTTTGCAATATTCTCATACTTTTAAATCTTAATGAGGTTCTCCCTTGTCAGTGATGCAGGACGGAGGGGCTGACAAGGAAAGCTGTCTAGTCGTTCAGATGGGACGAAAAACCGAGGTCTCGTGTACACATTGGCGTGCACGTAAAAGATCCCTTGGCAGTTGGAATTCGATATAAGAGTAGGCCGTAGTGCCGCTGTCCGGGCAAAATTTCCCTCATAGCACACTGTGTGGCGTATGCCCGTCTTCATTAGCCCAGGTTAGGAGCAGAACAGTAGGACGTTAAACTCCATTTCAATTCATTTCATTTCATTTTTAAATCTTAATGACAGAATCAATTTTTTTTTTCTCGTCTAGGTCCATTCTATTCATAGATCACTTGTTGAAAGATTTAAGGTGGCATTAGTTTGGGTAAGAAATATTTTAACATGAAAATACTCTCTACAATGAATATTCTAACCAAAGCAAGATTCTGATTAAGGATACATTATTCAAGAGCTAAATCTGCCTATTAATTAGACCAAAATCAACTCTCAATGTCATCGGATGGTTCCGATTTTAAGTGTGGAATATACCAGTGCCGTGATTACAATAACTAAAAATCAATGCACACATCTTGTCAAAACTACAATCAGTAATAACTTGGCTCAGAATAAAGTAATTTGAATGAAATGTTCAATATATTCATTTATTATCTATTATTATCTATTATCTCTTTATCTAAATCTTCCATAATGCCCCTTTAAGTCTACAATTAATTTGATGAATAGTAGCATACTTGGTGCTTTATAATCATGTAATACTGATGTTGGTGCCAAGATGTCAAGGATTTGGTTGAGAAAAGCCCCTCAGAATTCTCCTGTTGGGTTTCCCCTCGTGAGTTGTATAGGAAAGGTGCCTGTCAAGTCATTCATTGTCCCCCGCCTTTCAAAGAAAGCAGGGGACTATTAAAATGTGTTCGTCCGTCTGTCCGTCACACTTTTTGGGACACAATACCTCTTTTTCTAATTGAGCTAGAATGTTCAAACTTGGTGTATGTGTTTATTAGGTCTATACCTTAATGGAGTTCGAAGATGAGCATTTTCCGCTTAGGGTAAGCGAGGGTAAGCGGAAATAAGCAATTTGATTGGTTGATGCCTTGGGACACGATAACTTTAGTTCTAATTAAGTGGGAGTGATGAAACTTGGTGTATAGTTTCATTACATCAATACCTTGACTAAGTTCGATAATGAGCATTTTCTGCTCAGGGTAAGCAGAGCGATAAGCAATTTGATTGGCCAAGATTTTGGAACACAATAACTCTCCTTCTAATTGAGTTAGAATGTTCAAACTTGGTGTAGGTGTTTATTGGGTGAATCCCTTGATGGAGTTCGATGATCAACATTGTCTGCTTACGGTAGGCAGAGATAAGCAATATGATTGGTTGATGCTTTAGGGGCACAATAACTTTGGTTATAATGAAGTGAGAGCGATGAAACTCTGAATATGGATTCATAATATCATTACCTTGACTAAGTTCGATTGTGCAAATTTTCTGCCTGGGCTAAGGAGCGATAAGCAATTTGATTGGTCAAGACTTTGGAACATAAAAACTCTGCTTTTAATTGAGGTAGAATGTTTAAACCTGATGTAGATGGTCATTAGGTGAATGTCTTGACTGATTTCAATGATTAACACTTCAAAGCTAAAGCTAAGCAGAACTAATCAATTTCATTGGTCGATGCTTTGGGACAAGATAACTTTGATTCTATCTGATAGAGAGTGATGAGAGTGTGTAGCTTGATTACTTGATACTTTTGAAAAAAATAAATGTGCGATTAATTTATATGTGTCAACTATTTTATTTTGGGATTTCGGCGGGGGACATCAGCCTCACTGTTGGCTTGTTGTATTTGATATTTGTGGGTAAAAAATGTAATAAACTGCTATCATTGCATATTGTTGAACAGTAAGTGATTTTATGTATTGTTTGTCGTAGAAGCTCAGTAAGTAAGATGCTGGCTCACTAACCAAGAAAACTTGGGTTTGATCCTGGTGTTGTTTAAAAAGTTTGACAGGATATTTCAGTATGGTTTCCCCTTATCAGTGGTTATATAATCTTAATTCTGGCATGATGGGGCTTTAACTGTTGGTATGTGACACAATTGCCTAAATGGCAAAAGTCCTGAGCAATGGTTTCATTAGAGAAAGGATTTTAAAAAGTGACTTAAAATGTGATTACCTATATAAAACATAGTCTTTTTTGTATTTTCAGGGAACCAGTGTAAAATATAACCCTCAACATTGTGGTTTAAATCACTTGATGAATGACGAAGATGTTATACAAATCTTTAAAAAATAAATGGATAGTGCTAACAAGATAAGGAGGGTTGAGTGAGAGGGGTGAATCCGCGTATCATACAAATGAATCTGATTGTTTTGTGTACCATTTGTATTGAAAAATATTTTAAAGATATACTCCTTTGACAAGTGAGACAATAATCATTTGAAAATTATCTCTTTAAATTATGTAGGAAAGAAAAAATTGATGCAATATGGAGGACTATTAATGAGATAAAATGATTTAACAATAGCAGTCTGTTCCACCACTTAATCTGTGTTACACACAAGATGACTACTCACATGGGCTGCATTTGTTCTAAGCCTGTTAGTTAGAATAAAACAATAACTATGCAGAAAGGAAAACCTGCATATATCTATTTGATCATTTATTAGTGCTGTTTATTATCAGTCTATGTAAGGAAAGATAACTGACATTGTTGAATATGTAAAATATGTAAATAAAATGGTATGGCAACTTATTAAATGAAAATATTTTCTGTAATGATTTAAAGTTAATCAACCGAACTCCGTCTTGCCCTATCTTTATCTTATTTAATTTGATCAAGTGTGGCCCAAACAAAGTTAATTTAAAAATCCAGCAATGATAAGATTGACTTTCATGAGTGGACTTTCATGAAACTGTATATTTATTTTCACAATATTAGAGACCCTTTTATGAGTGTATTTCTATGGTACACAAACATTTGAAATATAAAGCCCCAGGAATAATTTATACCATATTAAAACAGTATAATGAACTTGATTTGTTCACTGAATGAACTTTATTCTCATAAACTATATTACACAGTTACAGAGAAAATATATATAGTTACGTGCATGTGCGAACAATACAACAAAATTAAAATGATATAATGAACTTGATTTGTTCACTCCACTTACTATCATGTAAAAAGTCAACTTCACAATTTCAATTTTATCACATATGTGGGTGATATATTGACTGCATTAACTGATTATATTTGTTCAAGGCAAGATTTAAGGTTGATAATCAAAATTAAAGGATGAATGGTCTAATAAAGCTGTCGATATACAAAGTTATGGAATGCTGTTATTGTTGTGAATAGTGGGAACTTCATGCATTTATGATAACTTTCAGGATATAAAAGAGTCGGCTCATCTACCATACAAGATGATATAGCAATCTTGCCACAATAGGCTGTATTGTTTATGAATTAAACACCAAAGAGACCACTATGCATGACTGTTAAATAACAAATGCTCACTCCAATTTGCCTACCAATGACACATAGTATGTTTACTATTTATAATTTGTCATCTTCTTTGGTTTGTTTGTTAGTTCCCCATTTATGTTCAAAGTCTTGGTTGGATTGTCCGATTTACAATACTATTGAATTTATAATTTCATGCTAGCAACTGAATATAAATAATGCTGGTACAAAAGAGAGTTAAATATAAATAACGCTGGTACAAATGAGAGTTACATATAAATAATACTGGTACAAATGAGAGTTACATATGAATAATACTGGTACAAAAGATAGCTGGTTAGTCAGAGATATCACCTAAGGTGTAAGCAGATGTTAAGCCTCAAGGAACAAACAAACGAAAAGCGTTAGAATTTTGACATTTTCATCACGCTTTGTAACATTTCCATATTGGCATTTTACATGGTAAATAGCCAATAAGCTATTTGTAAGGAAGAAATTACATGCATTGAAGTAAACAAAATAGGAAAAGTATTACTAGGTTCTTGTAATTTTTGCTCATTCAGTTTTATGTTCCATAGTACATTTATATAATATGTTGTTAACTTTAGACAAAGACGTTTTTTAATTTTCAACAATTTCTGTTAATTACTTTTAGATCTTAGCTCTTGATTAATTTGTAGAATCTTTAGAATGTTCTTGCAACAAACACTCACACATATCGCACCCATTTATACTCTTATATTTAAAACTAATCTACAGATTTTAATTTGAAAATGCTTCAACACTTTTATTGTTATTGTTTTCACATGTAAGATATTTTTACCCATGTACTTTTCACCTCTCCTTGTTCCACTACTTGCATTATTTATTTGGCGATTTGACCAAGTTGTAATAAGAGAAGAAAATCTGAACTTAATGAATTTACTTGTGAACTAATAGGAAATGGTCACTTGATCTATTTTATCTACAAGAGTAAAAGATAAGCCACAAGGTTTCTTTAGTGGTCCATCCAGTTACATTAAGATGCAAATTAAGTCGTAAAGATGAACAGCCTGTTTGGTTTCTGGTTAACTTTAAGCGTTCTTTTCACTTGTAAGTTGATTTTTTTTCTACATAAAAATTCCTGAAGCACCCAATATTATAAAATTACATAATATTGTGTACTTCAGGATTTTTTTTTATTAAGTTTCTTATATTATTGATGGAAATTATCCAAAACATTAAAAAAATGCAGAAGAAAAATATTTACACGTAACTTTGAAAAACTTTGATAAAATGTATATGAATTAATGCACATTGGTCAATTATAGTTAATTATGTTTAGTTTTAAAAGGGGATTGTTCGCCTGTCTGATTTTCTGTTACCCTTTTTAGGATACAAATGAGATAAAATGTTCAAGCATTGTCTATGTTCATTAGCTGAAGACCTTGACTGATTGTGATGATGAAAATTTTGCTGGTTATACAAAGCAGCCATCTATCTGTCTATCAAACCTTTTGAAACACAATAACTCTCCTTCTAATTGAGGTGGTATGTTCAAACTTGGTGTAGATGTTCAATAGACGAATGCTTTGTCTGAGTTCAATGACAACCAGTTTCTGCTTAGGTTATGCAGAGATGAGGAATTTGATTACAGTAGTTGAAACTTTAGAACACCATATCTCTGCTTCTAATTGAAATAGAATGTTCAAACTTGGTATCGGTGTTCATTAGGTTGTAAGCTGAGCAGATATAAATAATTTGAGCAGATATAAGTAATTTGATTTGTTGATGTTGATTAAGAAGAATGTTTGTTCAATGCTTTATAAAAGGATAAATGAGCAAGTAATTAAAGATACATTATGGGAGATTAGATAAAAAGCTGGCAGTTCTCACTATAATAGTTAAAAACTAGATAATGTAAAGGGAATTTGCTGAAAATTTCAGTCAGATTGATCCACACTGAACCAAAATTTTAGCAATTGAATTTTCGGCCTAGCCTCAATCATCATTATTAAAGTCGGTAGGATAAAAAACATAGCCTCGATTATCCATTTCATGATTAAATCATGAATGGAAGTCGAACAGCAGATCGGAACCTAATCCAATAAACATCGCAGGCTAGCGATGACATTGAGAGTTGATTATGGTCTAGATCTGTTAATTAATGTTTAATTAATAATTTAGATAACATTTCAAGCCTAAAGAAAGACATGCAATACACAGATTTAGCTCTTGTATAATGTATTTTTAATGATTGTCATCTGTTTAGTTTGGGATCAATACAGGATGATATCAGCTTCACTGTTGATTTATTTTATTTTGTATGGTTATCACAACAGGTACATGGTCACAAGATGTAGTAAGAAAGAAAAGAGTTGTCGGAGGACATCCGTTGATTGCTGGTGAATGGCCATTTCTAGTTTCACTCCATTTTCGGCCAGTACATCCTTTTACTAACCGAACAAAGATGCGCCATTTATGTACAGGGGCTTTAATAGATCCCTTGTGGGTATTAACAGCTGGTCATTGTTTTGAGTAAGTTCAAATGATAATGTTTTTGAAATTATTTGAAATCTTTTGAATGTCTTTAATTACCAGTAAAGACTTTGAATTTCCTTTCAAGACCAAAAGTCACTTCTCTAATTATTCATGCAAAAGTTCTTTGATAGTTCCAAATGGGTTACCAAATATCAAACCTTCATGTTATTTTGTTTCATTTAATTTTTTATACTGATTTATTCAAGTCGAACATAGTATAAACTTTTCATTGCTTTTCTTTCAGTGGTAATGAATATCGGGGTTTAAATAAAAAGAGTAATTGGGTAATAGTACTTGGTGAACACAATCAATACAGACGTGAATCTTGGGAACAAAGGCACAGAATAAGAAAATATTTTCAAAATCCACAATATACAGGTGACATGATTATATTTATTGAGTAATGGAAATTCTTCTCTTTAGAGATAAAATTAATATGTCTGGTCTAATATAAGTCAGTTCTTCTGCCTAGACACCAGTGAATGTTTTGGGTGGATTAGTTCAGAATTTCTATTCTCATAAACCATATTGTATTGGATCAGCTGGACTTATGTATTATATTTAAAATTTGGTATTGCTATACCATTTACAGTTTCTTGACATTTTAATTGACAGCCCGACCATTATTAAAAGATTTAACCTTGATCAAACTGAAGAAGCCAGCAACAATAAGTGATAAAGTGCGACCAATTGAACTTGACCTAACTGGACAGTGTACAACATTAGGAACAGAAGTGTCTGTGGCCGGATGGGGTCAAGTGGCTTACAGTAAGTCAAAATTTTGTATTAGATAATTGACCTTCCTTGACATCCTTCTTAATTAATGATGCCCTTGTTTTTAAATTCTACCCAACTCACCAATTCTTTATCTTTACCCATCATTGTGGTTTCACATTAACTTTAAAACTAGGTAGACTTGAACCAGTAAGTAGAATTTCCAGTGTTCTAATTTGAGATAGAATTGATTGAAATGGTGTTTTAAAGCAAATTGTTTTGCACTCACCAGCCACATAATCACACAAAAATGACTACTGTTCCACATTTAAGGATTCTGTATACAGTCAAAATTCTTCAGTACACCATTCATACTTCTATTAAACACCAAGTGATTGGGATATCATGGAAGATGTGTTGTACTGGATCTGGAAATGTTAGTTGATTTCTAAATTGGATTATATTTTTAAAATTGAAATGAATTAAATTGATCCAGGGTTAGTGTCATTGCCTTTAATGTTACTATAGTCACCTCTTCTGTTTCTTTCACAATTGATATTTATCAGGCACACAACTATTTTTCCTGATCATGGTATCAATATTGACTTCTATAAAAGGGGACAGCCTATCTAAATAGTATTTTGATATCATGTCCCTTTATAAGGAATACAAGCCTGGAATGTCAAAAATTGACAGTATTTCTATTTTATATTTCAGGTCCATTTGGCTATGGTAACTTTCTACCATTAAAAACTACAGTTTGGGTATCGAATAAAACAGAGTGTGTTGAGAATTATTCTATTGTACCTGATACTGATCCCGATAAAGCTTTCTATGAACCTGAAGATGAAGGAGTTTTATGTGCAGGTGCTGATGGGGTTAAAGATGCCTGCTTAGTATGTTTGCTTTTCTCAATTTGAATTAACTTGAATTTGCATTATGTAAGATTTCAATAAATTGCTGGCCTATCTTGCTATAATAGTTCAATTCAAAAATAGATAATGAAAAATGAATATATTAAATTTTCATTCATTGAATTAAATTATTAAATGGCCATCGTGTTTCAATCCATTTAAATCTCAACCATTCAATGCCTAGAGAGTTGATTATAGGCTTGTCATGTGAATAATTGTCAAAATAATAGTTTATATAACATTTAAAGTCAAAATAAAGACCTGCAATATGCAGATTTAGCTCTTGCATAATGCATTTTTAATAATATTTATGGGAATATTGTTTTAAAAATCCTCAAGAATGATTTCAAATAGTAGATCCTATTTGTTGAGACATTTTTTGCAAATATTTTAACATTGTGTCTATGGAGTGGAATTCATAACATAATTCATAGTTTACTTCAATGCATGTATCACATGAGTGTGATGGTGGCATTGCCTTATCGATTTGTTACCAGCACTACATCCAAGCATTACTAAGAGTTGGAATTATACTGTGAATTTACTCCATATGTGTCATCTTATCATTGTCTAAGAAAATTTCCAATGCAAAATTCTGATAAAGGGTTTATGGTAAACCCTTATAATTACTAATTGGATACATTTAGAGCAAAGTGCCCTGATGCCTGCTAAACGCTACATGAAGTTTCAAGATATTTTTGTGGAGTATATGAAATGTAATATAAAATTATTTCAGGGTGATTCAGGTGGACCATTAATCTGTAATCATAATGATGTGTTGAAGTTAACAGCTGTTGTTTCTACTGGTTATGATTGTGGCAATTCTACATTTCCTGGTCTTTATACTAGAGTTGATGTCAATCAACAGTGGATAGTAGATACCATGGCCAATAATTAAAGACATGATAATATAAACTCTACCTACACCGATGTACCTCATTTTTCTCATCAGTTTATGTACAACTAACTTATAGGTTTTATCACTGTCCATCCATCTGTTTGCCTGTCCTTCTGTCATTTCTGTTTTGCGGAATTTGTTTTTATTGAACTTTGAGATATTTAATTGAAATTTGGTACACTGCTATATATATCAGAGTTACAGATCAAGTTTATGGGATTACACTTTTTACTGAATTATGACCCTATGTTGACTTGAAATCGAGGAATTGTTTTAGGTTAAACTCTGAGATACTGGAATGAAACTTAGTACATTGTTTTACATAGTAGAGTTAGGCCTACAATGAAATTATGTTTTCCAAAATAATTCTAGGTTAAACTTCAAGGTATTTGGTTGAATGTTCAATGTTGGTACACTGCTGTTTGAAGAAAATCTGATAAACTTGAAATATTTGTATGAAAAAACAGTCTTCAAAGGCGTCGTCATGGGCAACGCCATTGGTAATCCGGGAACTTGAAAGTAGTTCCAATGGCGGACTTCGTCATACAGCCGAGGCTAGATGTAGGGTCGACAAGTCAAATTTGACAATGAACCCCTACCACGTGTATGGCGCTATTGCGTGTCGCAAATGCAGCTCAGTGGTTCTGTTGGGGCAATAAGTTCTTATCATAAGTTCTTCATCTGTGAACATACTCTCGAAGCATGTCAAGTGTTCATGACTATTTATCACATCACAACCTGCATAGGTATTTGCATTTCAATATCCCCTACTTTTTTTTAAGAGTATAGTACGATGAAACAATGTGAAACAATGAAATAAATGTGTGACAAATTTCACGTATCTAATGTCGAAGAAAAGATTCTATTTTGATGGCATATTCTTGGATTTATGATCATATTTTGAATGGGATTTATGTTTTTACATAAAGAAATAAGTACGCTAAGCAATGTTGATGAATATGTTGATTGGAATAGTGTAAGTACAATAGCGCTTGCTAGAGTCGAATACGATTATTTAGCAGATGCCATGATGTCACTCGGTGACTCGTTCGTTGTGGTAGAGCGACGTTTACTGCCAAATAAATTTCGGGATGTCATTTTTTTTTACCCTCCGTATATAAGTCGAAACGGAGTATAAGACGAATGCCGGACTTCTGCTTAAAAATGTATCAACTTATGACCCGAAAAATACGGTAATTTTGGAGGAATTTGAAACAGTACAGATCAGCAGTAGTCGGCACGCTTTCATTCTATCGTATTACGACGTCACGTAATTTTGTAGGAATATTACTGACATAAATTTGAATCCCGTGAAAAATAACGAGGTGCACCTATTTTTTATTACATAAGAATTTGAATATTTTGTTGACACATGATTTTTGTGTGTAGGCTAAAAACTGCCTGCTTAAATAATGATAAGAGATATGTCCCTTTATTTTCGGTAAAAATGTCTGATAAGAAAAATTTTGAAATCCCATCACTACTGCTGTATATAGCCTAGTTACAGATCCAAGTTTGCATTTTGGTGAATTTTGTTTATTTTCTTTACTGAATTATGGCCCTTTATTGACTTAAAGTTTAGGTTATTCTTTGAGATATTGGAATGAAATTGAGTACATTGTTTTACATAGTTGAGTTAAAAAAACATTTCATTTGTACAGATTTTATTTCATCTTGCTGTATTTAGATTGTATATTTACAGAAATGTATTCGCTTATAGTTGCATGCATTGTCATCATGTATTGATTATATCATCAAAACTCTCAGAATGCTTGTCTGTTGTCCTTAACAAATCAAGATGGATATGACAAAATATATTTGTAATAAATGATGATTGAATTTGAGAATAAGTATTTATTTCAATGTCTTTTTCCATCTTCATTAGCACAATCAGAGTAGAATGTTAAACCCCATTTCATTTCATTTCAATGACTTTTTTGTAACAATTATTAAACTGTTATGGGGAAGTTCAAAGTGATAACTTTATATTGATAAATAAAATAGTTATTGAAAACATTTTGATTGTTATTTCATTAAAGAAGTTTATAAGGAAATGCAATAATGGTAGAGTTCTTTTAAATATAGATCTGTCAATATTGTCAAGAGAGGAACAAGCTAAAGAACAAGCAAATTAATTACAGGATCAGGGGATAGGTTGCTAATCAAGAAATATATATATATATATAGTTTATCAATACAATTTGTCAGTAATGAATGTAAGCATATTCATTTCAATATTGTAAATTTTAAATATGCCCACCCAACAAAGTAGGCTATGCTATCACTATGACAACATATCCAGAGGCGGATTTAAGGAGGGGCGCCCCCCCCCCCTAATTTTCGACAGTGCCCTTTTTTACTGCTGAAAGTGCCCTTTCTCAGACCCAAATATGTCCGTTCCCAACCCGTTGCAGGGATCCCAAATGACTCAAACCATCGATTCAAACACACCAGTCTGGTCAAATTAATGCTTCCACTTTCAAACGAATTCTTGTTGTTTAGCTGACGGTACCCTAATCCTATAGAGTGAATATAGACAAACATCTTGTGGAATCGGCGGCGTATACACTCATGCCCATCACCGACGCGCATGAGTGCAACTTGATGTAGCATTGTTTCATGTGTGGACAGTACAAGGCACAAGTTACAAGGCTTAAATAGTGAAGTGGTTAGGGAATAGATTCGTCTTTTTTCCCATCATAATGCCTTACTCGCCTTGACAATTTTCGAGTCGCATGTTCAACTGGCTTTTTTGCTCGATTTTAAGACTCTTTTTCAACGATTTCCGAACGTTTACTTAGACGAAAATATCAGCCAAATAGCTACAGATGCAAGGAAATGACGGATAATTTTCTTACCCCCCCCAAAAAAAAAATCCCCTCTCAGCGGCGTGCCCCGTCTCCGCGGTCAGTGCCCTCATTTTGCAGGGCCCTCCTCCCCCTTTTCAAAATTCCTAGATATGCCCCTGATATCCTGCAGTGCAAGTCTTAAACAAAAAAAATAAAAACTCCACAAAACCCCTTCAAAATTTACTATAGGGGTTCTGCCTTTTGCTCTGACCTCTACACATTTTATAATTGGATTGTAAATGGTAGAATGACTCTGGATCTGTAATCTCCATGATTCTTCCTTATACTATGACCTATATTGCGATCAAAGAAATTCCTCCCTAGGGCCCAAATGAACAATCCTATGAATTTGAAAAAAAAAAAAATCATGAAGAAATCTGAACTCTATAGTGATCACAAGAAGTTGCTGGTATATAAAAAAATTAGAGGATGCTTACAAGGAATTGTGGACACAATTAAAAAAGTTGAACAATGACCTCTTTATTGGATCTACACCATAACCCAACAGTACATAAACATATTCCGGTAAGCTGCAAGGTCTGTATTGTCCATATATGTTATATACAGAAAACTAATGCTACAAATGTAAGAGCTAAATCTGCCTATTGCATTTCTTCCTTTGGGCCTTAAATGCTATAGGATAAAGTCCTCAACTTCAGTTATGCTGGGGAAAGACAGACTGAAGAAAATAACTTGAGAAAAAGAAAAACTGAGGTTTTTCTGTCGAGGGTTTTTTTCTGAAGTTTTTATTCCCCAGCATAACTGAAGTTGAGGACTTTATCTTGCTTATAAACCGTCTATGTTTACATGTACGCAAAATGAGAAAATCTCAGAATCCCCGGCCCCCCCGATGATTTCCTCTTAGGTAACATAAAAAGTGAATTTAAAAAATCACTCAAACTTCAGCATGCAGAATATATACAATGGGTTAGTTACAAAGGCAATTATAATATCACAGAAAACTTATGCCTGTGTCATTTTGTGCTGCTTTCATCAGTAAGCTGATCAAACTTTCCAGAGATGTATTATTGTTTGAGGCAAAAATATAACACAAATACAGATCATTTTGATTGCTTTACTAAATTCTATATCTTATATATTATACATCTATATACTTCTATTTATATATTTTCTTTTTATTATATATACATTGTTTTGTTTTTAAAACATACTATCACAATACATAAAATAATAATCACATTTCTGATGGAGTATGGTTTTATATACAAGACTAAAAATACTCTTAACACTTTTTGATTACAAAATCTGGTTTAATAAAACCATTAACTAAGAACTTTTTTTTAAAAGAATACCCTCGACTCTTTCTTGTTTTTCTATACAGTAAATATAATAACAGTTTGGAATGATTAAATACAAAGTATCTATCTCACAGAACAATTATGGTTTAGGCAGAGGCTCGTCTAAGGATTTGGTCGTGCGCGGCAATGTGGGGCGAACACCGTAGGTAAGAGCCCGGCCGTCCCCCAGAAAATTTTGAAAATTGACTCCCTTAGACTTGATTTCTGAGTACTTAAAAATAGTTTCGAAGATTTGATACACTTTTAGTTTTGGCATCTTGTTAAACCATGGATTGATTAATACCTTGTAACATCGAGATCAAAACACTGCTGCGGCTGACCCGCAGACAGAAATATACCCATAAAACAATCAGAAAGACGATTTTGTAAACCTACGCACCATGACATAGTATTGGCACATGGGAAAAACCTTGTCAGCGATTTTCAAAATGTATGTATGTTGCCGCCCAGTCTTCAACTTTTGGGCTCAGTAGGCGGCACAGTTTGGCCAGTGCGCGCCGCCTAGTCACCATGTTAAACGAGGCTCTGGGTTTAGGTGAAAATAAAGTGTTGAATTGTGTTCATCTGCTCAATAAGTAGTGGTGTTAGCTTTGGCAGAATATCTGAAAATAGGTCTACTTAATATTTTTGAATTGGACCTTTGGAATCCAAATTTGGGACATTTCAATGTCGGCTTAATCCAGTGAAATTTTAAATGTAGAATGATATCATTCTCACCAAACAATGAATGCATGCATCAGATTTTCTCACTCAAATAACTCATTCCCTTTTAATGGCATTAAATTCCTTACTGAATACAATAATTTCTTAATAGTTTACAGGAATGTTATACTTACAGGAAATCAAAATAACAGAATGACATAACACTCAAACTACTAACAGTGAGATTAAAATAATGATCACATAAAATGTAAGAATAACATTAATGAATGAAGGCATATCATCTTATAACACAACCAAAAACTGTTGAGGTCAAAAAGCATTAACAGAATTATCATTAATCTTTTGTCCAGACCTTTCTTTCTCTGTTACTGCACACAATATTTTAAAGGAGAGATTTACAATAAAATATAGTACCATACTTTCATCAGTCTCGAACATGTTCCTGAAGCAACGACTGCGAGTTTCACAACATCTGGCCGTTTCTTGTTTACTTCACAATTCAGGAACTTATAGCTATGTTATTTACAGACACGTGAGCAGTAGCGTCTAATTAGAGGTTGTGACATTGCGACCTCCACCGAAACCTTGACATAGAATGAACCTTGAACTTTGCAACTCGATTATCACAGGTAGACATTTTAGTTTGAAAGTGCGAGACTTGGTATTCACGACGATCAAGGAATCTGATAGGCTTACAAGTTTGGCTTGGATGCAGGGTATTATGTGAAGCCCTTGATAAGATGTACGTAGTTAAAGCGAGATCAAGCCTTCTATTAAAGCGGAGTCTCGAAGTGAAATCCAAATTACTGATATCACAAAACAACCGTTATGGGTCTCATCACTAACAAAGTTAACTTAAAATACAGGTAATTAAAAATCATAAACAAAACAAATGATAATAACGATATCTGTAAAGACAACAATGACAAAAGTTTCCATTTATAACAAATTTCTAATACAAATGTATAATTTGAGCATTCAATCATCTATTTTTCTATAACAGCTATCAAGCAATGTATTGTTAACTAGGATATGATCATTTCATTTGACTCACAAGAGTTTCATCACAGAAATAATCACTTATATATGAACACTGAATTGCTAAAATTTACCATATAAGCTTATAACCTATTTGACCCAAGACTGAACAACCTGTCTGGCCTGGGGTTGTTAAATTACATAAATACATCATGTATTGAGATATTTTCTTCCAGGATATAAATACAAGTTACACTGTAGATGAGCTTTACTTTTAGATACATAACGTATCGTGAGGTCGACATTTTACAAAACCCCCAGTCATTACTTATATAATTCAAAATTACTCAAAGAATGATGGTGATTTTGCATGAATATTAAAAAGGAGAAAAAAGGAATGCAAGAGAAATTTAATTCAGTTTTATTATTTAAGTGCAAAATATGATACAACCAGCTGTTATACTTCTTACTCTGTAGAACTCCAACCTTGTTGGTTTTCTCTAGGTCCTCCCACTGCTAAAGACCCCTACGTGCAAGCAAATTATTGAAATAAAATTGAATCATATGTTAGACCGAAATGACCTAGTTTGTGGCGAGTAGACGTTAAACCCCATTTCTCTCTGCAGAACTATTTCCCTAAAACTATATTGTATTATGCACGCAAATGTCAATCTATTAACATCCATCAGATCTCAGGAGAATGATATACAAAAGTCATGTGAAAAAACAAATTATTTCCATGTTTAATAAAACGGAGGAGATCTGGGGGCTCTGTTTGCCCACCAATAATTTTAAAAGATAGGTTGCCAGGCAACAAAACATACGCCCACAGCAGCTAAGAGTTGTCGCATATCTTTACTTTTGTCGGTAATGAAATATTTATAATACACTAAAATCTGATTAAGAGTAACAACTCATTAAGTAATTATCAGAAAATCATTAGAATTTGTTTGGCCCATGCTAATGTTTAGCATACAAAAAATATAATTTCATGGATTTAGCTGCTCAAGTTAACAAAAATCATTGAAAATCAATATACTTGTTCGTCTCAAGACCTTAAACTCTGTGTATCAATCTAAAGTCAATCGAAACGATTATATATATATAGGCGTAAACACGGTATATAAATTTAAAGTCAATCGGATATTTCAAAGTTATCAACTCTGGCAGTAATTATTGGAAATCGTTGAAAATCAATAAGCTTCTGCGTCTCATGATCTAAAACACCGTGTATAAATTTAAAGTCAATTGGATATCAACTTTAGCCTCTAGAGCGTCCGTAAGAGTTTTCTAAGTGATCATGGGCCATAATTCTGGCAGTAATTATCGGAAATCGCTGCAAATCAATAGGCTTCTTCGTCTCATAACCTTAAACACTATATAAATTTAAAGTCAATCAGATATTAACTTTAGCCTCTAGAGTGACCACAAGATTTTTCATCTGGACGGACGGGGGCGACGAAAATACGACCAAATTTCAATGTGGGCATATAAAAATATTTGGGATATGTTTCAGTTATCAATACCTTCTACCGTGGTTAAATGCAACATTCCCACTTAGTCACAGACTTGCATGTTGTAGAGTCTGAGTGATTTCTTAACCCATCCTGCTGTAAACCTACTATAAACAATAACATGTGAACCACTTGACGTGCTTTTTATGATCCTCAAAGTTATGGGGTATAGGTCAACATGGCGAGAATATTCATTCACTTTGATTCACTATTTCCATTCATTTGACACTTTCCACAGGTAGCAGGCATTGAAGATGGACCTAGACACTGTGGTCGATCGCTTTGCTAAAACATACCCAAATTCAAGAATTGTCCTCGTTTGCCCCAGCTTTGCTCCTCCATCCATCAGTTTAGAAATATGAAATCCTTTAAATTTTCATTTATCTGTTTATTAACAGAGAAAGAATTATTAAGTACAGACCCAGTTGGAAAATATAAATGGAAAGGTATCTATGGAATGACAACATGAATTATAGGCTACAATTGCTGTTCAATGATGATGCTGGAGACACACTGCACGCTATATCTATCACATGAAGTTCATGTCATGAACGAATATTGCTCATATACACAATGAAATTTGATTGTATAGTTTAATACACTTATTATGATATGTAATATATATGATATGTTATCTGATCCATAGACTAATAAGTTATAATTGTACAACCCCAACTGCTTTCAAATATTTCAATCTAGATAATTACTACACTTATTCCCATTGTCATTTCTGAATCATTCAGTTATATTTTCTATTGTACAAGACACACAAAGTAAGATATGTATTAAGATCCTGTGAAAATTTAGTTAATCATCACACATTTTATTGACTAATAATCCACCAGTTGTAAATCCTGATCTGGATTATATACTATGCATGTAATTAGTTACATGAAAGAATGATTTAATGTACACAGTCACCTATTCTTTAGCTTCTGATAGAGAGTATTTGTATTCATTTGCTGGTGTGATTACACTAGATGGCTCTTCTTCATTAAGTAAATCTTCTGTGGAGAATTTTAAAGCAGGATTAACTTTTCCATTAACTTCATTATATTTTGTTATAGATGTCATCTCGTTCGGAGGCTCACGTCTCGACAGAATGATGCTCTCTTCAGGAATGTTGACAACACACAGGAATATATCATACCTTGGTGCCAGACGCCCACTTATAAACAACTCCTTAAACAGACGTGAAACAAGAAGAATACATGACAAAGTTATTAACATGGAGAGTGTTTTGAATGGGAATAACTGTTCACCATATTCCTCCTCATTTTCAGGTTCAATAAACCATGGGTATTTGATAATTGCTGTAATTTTCAAGGCCGGTTCACCTCCACCCAGACGGAAGAACATTCCAATGATATAACCTGCTAGTGATCCATATGTATTGGTATCAGCATACAAAATACACACAAGTTGTGGAAAGAGCACAACATACACTAAATCTGCACACAAAAACCATAACTCGTAGATAGAAGATACTACTATAGCCATCGCAGTTGCTAAGACGCCTACTCCAAATATGGCTGCTCTCATAACCCATAAAATCTCCCTTTCCGATGCCTACAAAAAGAAACAAAAAGAAAATAACGTTTTAAATAATGTGTGAGAAAGCAACTAGGTCATTTTGGGACTAACAGTTTATCTTATTTCTCTTGCACACATGCGTCTTTAAAAATGGCTAGGCATGTTATCAAATCCTTGTCACTTACAAGTCTGGGATTGAAACCACAATACCTGCATCTTATGGTCTACAATTGCACACATTATACTGCTTGGTCACTATAATCCCTTCTTGAATAATGTACAACAGATCCACAGACCTAAGTTTTTCTCCACGTGATTTACACTATAATCTGGAGTAATTGTTGGCCTACCTTTTGTCTAAATATAAGTTTGTAAATATTCCTAGCAAACATGGAACTAGCAGACAAAATGGAGGAGTCAGCTGATGACATGACAGCTGCTGACACAGCGCCTAGACCAATAAATGAAACCCAAGCTGGACATAAAAACTGGAGACACATCGGTAAAATAAGATTTAAATTTTGTTCAGGGATAGGTAGTTCTCCATCATACGTTGTTTGATTCCAATCTATAAACAACAATAAGAATTCATGTTAATTCAATATTACAACGATAAGAATTTACGTTAATTTAATATTACAACAATAAGAATTTACGTTAATTCAAAAGAACAACAACAAGAATTCATAATTAAAATTCAATAGAAAAGTATGAATTTATGTTAATTCAAAAGAACAACAATAAGAATTTATATTAACTCAATAGAACAATAATAAGAATTTATGTTGGTTCAATAGAACAACAATAAAAATATATGTTGATTCAATAGAACAACAATAAGAATGTATGTTAATTTAATAAAATAATAATGTAATATGAGGATAATAGTGTGAGAAATGAAAATAGTATGTCTGAAAGAATTAGATGATTCGCTAAAAGTTAAAACAAAGAGCCAAGTTTTACGGTTTCCTGGAATAAAATCAGCAAGACAAAAATATGGCACATCAAAAGGGTTTACATTACCTGTAGATGCCGCAATCACACCAAATAACACTGCCGGCAAGGCCATTACTATACAACCAACTGATGCTATATATGATAAGATTTGTGCACTTCGAGCAGATTGAGATGACAATACTCTTTGGAAATATACCTGAGAAAAAAAGGAAAAAACACATGGCAATTTATCATTCTATTATTTGATGTGTGCCCACCAAAAATAAATATTGTCCTGTACTAGAGCACCTTAATTGAATAAAAAAAAATGTGGCAAATTAAAGTTGTGTCTTGTACATCAAAACACAATAAAATTAACTAATATGTAACAGTATTTATAAACAACAGGTACTTACCTGCCATGGTATTCCCCCAAATATAAGTAGTAAAAAACTGTCTATGTAGGATCCAGCTCGAAATGGTTCTACAGTTTGTATCCAATTCTCGGTTGCATTGGTAGTCAATGGTGCTACAGCCTCATTAGTCAGGGCAAATGGTACACTAAGCCACTGAAATTAAAATTAAAAACATTATATGACTACCTATAGAACACAGTTAGAAAATCTGTATGGATACATAATGATTATAGTTTTGCTTCAACAGCCAATAAACTGCTATCGTAATATCAAATCTGAAAAAATCGTTTTGCATAATATGTCAAGTGAAATCAAACAAGATGTAACTTTTCTGGGTCAGTTTAAACATTATATTAAACTACATCAATTACACCTTTAAATTAACAAATCTTGAAAAAAGATTTGAATATGATCTGTTGGGGATCGGTTGATTATGTAAAGAACATGGAGCAGAAATGAAACGTTATTTAAAAGTTCTTGATTGAAACTGTGCATTTCGTCAAATGGATTGGAGTTAATAGATTGAAAGAGTTATCTCCCATTAGTGCACAGCTTTAATCAATTCTACATGATTATATGCTATAGGATAGGTTAAACATATTCCAAATACGTGCATAATTCTAAACTAAAGCTCTATGGTAGGGTTGATCCATAATGTGCAATGTCCAGCTGTGACACAAATACAGTAAACTAGTTCGGTATTGTTACTGATGAAAATAAAGAGCAGTAACGAGTGCTAAAATTCAATGCTAGACTTCAAATTGGCCTTTGCAAAGTTCTTGTTTTCACCAATCTGAACAGAACAGTAGGACGTTAAACCCCATTTCATTTCATTTCACCAATCTGCACAACATATACACTACAGGCATGTCAGTTACCCCACTTTGAAAGTTCACTGAAAATGACGCCTGCCTGCATTAGTGCATGTGTATGGAAGAGCATGTGTTTTGACTACTTTATGTAAAGAAATACTGTTTTCACTTCATAAGTTCATGAAAAAACAACAACAAAAAAAAACCCCTAAAACTAGTAAAGTAAGGAAATTATAATAATTATAGAAGGTGCTTGCAAGACTTATGGTAGGTAACAGTTGCATTCAAAAACAAACTATGGTTATGAAGGTAATGTAGATATTTAGTGACTTAAACTGAAACTGAAACTGAATAATGTTTCTGTTTCTTTCAATCCTTGTGTAATTGCCCTAATTTTATTCATAATTCTATTTCTACATTTTGGAAGTTATTTGAGAATATATCAACTCTGAAAAACTAGAGAACAATTTGGCCAAAATCTACAGTAGGCCTAAAGCAATACAAAGTTCGTGTGACAGCCAAGGGACATTCAGTAGGGGTTCTCCTGTAACAGTAACAACTAGCTGAACAATTCCAGCAATCAGCTGCTAACAATGTTATAAAAGCAAGCCTGAAACAAAGGCATCTGTCGCACTTTGTCAGGGGAAAATGTAGGCACATATTTGGGGGGTTTTATCAGTGTTTTGAACAATATTAATAATACAATATACCAGACTCTAATTCATAACTGCCTGGTATTTTGCCAGGTACAAATGAAAATCATAATTTCAAAAAATCAAAAAAGTGACTTACAAGACCAATGAATATACAGAATAACTGTACAACATCTGTATACGCTACAGAATATAGACCACCAGTTAATGTATAGAATAAAGCTATACATGATGATACAATAATAGCTGTATTTGTATCAATATCAACAATAACAGATAATGTAGCACCTGAAATTATAACCAACAAAAATCTTTATAATATTTATCACATAAAACTTAAACAATTTTAGTCTAAACATCTAGGATTAACTAAACGTTATTTTGTTCACATTTGAAAATTGCATTTTGTTTTCATACATCATACTAATATTTATTTCAAATCATGTTTCCACATAAAGTCCCTATTGTGGTTTTGTGTGTTTCTAGCATGATCAGCAGCTGTAGAGAAATTTTAGTATTTTCGGTGGGAAATAAATATAAATACAGATGGTCTGATTTGTAGTATTAGACTTAGAGAAGAGTTGACTGTCTTTTGCAGTCAATGGCGTGCAGACTAAATCATATATGTATGGAAAAACATAAAACAGAAACAAACAACAATGTATAATTTGAATTTTGAGAGTGAACAAGTGAGACATTTGACCAGTTTTCATTGTCAGTCTATCTCATTATATAGTATGAGCTAAGGGCTCTTTCCAAACACATTTGTAACTAATAGACAGTCCTAAAATCTGCATCACAGTGTTTCAGACCATAAGAATGTTACCAAGGAAAAGTATTGGGGTTATTGTCCTAGTTTTGTGCTCCATCCGGGATAATGAAGACGGGCATATGCCCAAACAGAGGCACCACAGCCTATTCTTATTCCAAATTATAACTATTAAGGGTTCTTTTACGTGCATGCCAATGTGACACAGGAACTCGGTTTTTCGTCCCATCCATCCTGCACCACTGACAACTGGGAAACTATTACAGAATATGCCAGAGGAACTTTCTTGGCCAACATTTTGATCAAATTTGGGACCTTATTACCAGTGATTGCTGGGAGGGAATCATTTTGCTTGATCTGGAACTTCAAGTTTTATCAGCCTTGCTTATGACTGAATTATCAAATATCCCTATATATATTTACAAACATATTGAAATGAGACCCCAGGTTTTGTCAGTCACCCTTATGACCGATTTTTCCTGTACATGTCAACAAAAAAAATAGAACTTGGACACAAGGATTAATTTCTTGCCCTTGAGTAATAATTATTATGGATAATCAATTTAAGAAACTAACTTTTTCTACCACTCACCCAAAGCTGCAAGTACAGCAGCTGTCCAAAACACCTCCCCTAATAAAGCTGGTATATACAATAATCCTCCCATACGCTCACCATATCGAATCTGGAAGGGATCTAACATTGTTACATAGCCCTGAGTACGCATTTTATTTGCAAAAAATAGTCCTCCTATAAAAAAAAATAAATAACATAACTTTAAGATATGAAGAAATAACATACAGTACTCTTCTATTTTACATTTCTCACATTAGTTGTAAAGCATTTTACTGGAAACTGCAAGTATTTCAAATCAATATATTATTATCTATTATCTGTTTGTTTATTTTGGTATTGTATGATAAATCTGAAATTTACTTGATCATGATTGGACAATAACGCTCCATTAATTTTGGGGCAATTCATGATGAACTAATCTTAGCATCAATGTTAACATCCAAACAGTACACTTTTTGCATAATGAAAAAACACTAATAGTTAACACAGTGTGTAACATTAGATTTTATTAAGAAAATAAAGCTGATATGAGTTTTAATAAAACTGCTGGTTGTGAAAATTTTGTCCAGCTACAGCAGTCACAGAGTCAATCATAATCATTAGGTTACTAGAATAGTTGCCTACCCTTCATTTTGACTTTGAAGTTCAAAGTTTGAACGTCTAGAAGCAAAATTTTCCAGGACAATTAAGGAGATTAAGTTTGATGATGAGCATTATCTGCTTAGGCTAAGCACAGATAACCAATTAGATTCATTAATGCTTTGGAATACCAGAACTCTGAGTGAGAGTGATGACACTTTGGTGTATAGATTCATTACTTTAATACCTTGACTAAGTTCAATAATTAGCAGATAATTAAAGATACATTATGGAAGATTAGATAAAGAGCTGGCAGTTCTCACTATACTAGTTAAAAACTAGATGATGTAAAAAGGGAATGTGCTGAAAATTTCAGTCAAATTGCTTCACTCTAAGCCAGTATATTGTCAACCTTTTTTGCCAACGGCACACCTTGGAACACATGAAAACATACGGCACACCTGGCTAAATACATATTTTTAATATAAATCATATTTTATAAGAAACAATTCTTACCAAATACAAGACTTATAGCATAACCAAATGGAGCTTGACACCAGACTAAGCCATACCGCACAATAATTTCTGCTGTACCATTTATATAAGCTCCACCAACCCATGTAGCTGAAATAAAAAGGTTGAGAATAATATTTTGGGAAATAATTATGCATATGAAACAAAATTTACTTAATAATATTTCTAAACATCTTATATCTAGACCAAAAAGAAGCAGTCAAAGAGTGCTTTTTCATGAGTTTTTGGGAGAGGAACTGGTTCCCAAGCTCTACTCATCTTGCTGTTAGTTTCCTTGGGGGCAACACTCTTCGAAACAAGCGGTTGCCATGCAAGATAAGCCCATATTTTGCAAGAAATTTGTCTAGCAGTTTGAACCGATTTTAACTCAAACTCAACCATCATTATGATGTAACGGTGATATATTTAAACGGTTTTTAAAATTGGATAAAAATTGTGACTTCTAGAGGGTTCTCAAGCTAAAAACGTGATTTTTCGTACAATTAGGGGCCATAATCCAGGAAGTAACAGTCTGATATGCGCAAATAGTAAAAGAAACCAACTTCTTTGGGACAAAAATTGTGACTTCTACAGGGTCCACAAGCTTTGTATTACATACTTTTACATAATTTGCGTACAAGGAGCAGCCATTTTGTCCGGCAGTTTCGGTCCGATTTTCATGAAATTCAAACTCAACCATCATTAGAGTGTAATGGTGATATATTAAAAAGGAAGAAATGAAGCGTTAAATTCAGGACTTTTGAGATCAAGAACAATATTTCACTGGTATTCCTGTTACAGTTAGTACTTCCGTCTTCTTTAGCCTACATGTAAAAATTATTCTTTAAAATGAAATGATACAAATTCTATTTTCATAAATATATTTGGTAAAGGCTAATATTTAAACATTTCTTTGTAACCAATTTACAATTTAAGAACTCTAAAAAAATATTTTTTATGAACAATATAATTCAACCTTAAATAAAATAAAAATCATTCAAAGAATGTGCAACTTGTCTTGAAAGATTCGGTTCTGATACAAAAGACATTATCATGCACTTCAATGCTTGAAGAAACTCAATTAATCTTTCAAAAATACATGCTATGAATATAGAGAAAAATTCAATAGTGTCTGGAAAAGAAAAGCATAGATTGTAGAGACTGTAATATTGGATCAAAATTCATACGAAAAATACTTTCTTTTGAATAGAACTCATTTATTTGGCAATATAAACATGGCAGCCAAATTGGATAATCCAAACCAATTGACGGTTAAATTTTCAGGACTTGCAACTCCATTTATATTAACTTTGCAATAGGCTGGAAAGCAGGCAGAAAATGTCAAATAATCACAAGAGTAAGCCCATTTCAGCTTCAGCTAAAACATCCAATTGCCTGCAATGTAATTTCTATCCGACACGGAGAGCAAATATCTCATCGATTGCCTGTTAGATTTGCTTATCTTGGTCCAAAATCAATCAAATTCCCCAAAAGTGGAAATATTATTATAGACGAATCTGACAGCAATAAGCCTGTGAGTCTTAAACTAACATATATAGCTGTGACTATCAACAATATTTTTAAGCAAGGAACTGTTAACTCAAAATATATCAGAAGAACATGCATTAATTTAAGAACAGTTGTCAAAACTGTCAACTTTTATTGTAGCACAAGTTTCTCATATTTCAGCAGCACTATGAATGTCACACTTGAATGGAACTTCTACCTTGATTCACATTATAATTACTGGTACAATATAAAACAGTTGTATTTCTTTGTTTATTTTCCTAAGGCTGGATTATGCTCAATTTATCAATTCTAAATTTAAAAGAAGTAAACTAGTCCAGTAGACGCTCTGAAAATCATGTATTATAATCATCTTGTCCATAATTATAAATTTCTACCCAATACATCCTTATATTGATATCATGATAATTGTTCATGTTTATGATAAGAAATTTAGATGATGATGATGATGATAGGGCATATCCTGTAATTAGCTTATACTGATAAATCTAATTTGATAATTTGTTGTACAATATGGTTACACACTACAGTATAATTTCTTGTAAAAATATTTGTTTAGAATTTGAAAACTGTCACAAATCACTTGTATTACAAATGATTATAGATTTCGCAATATAAAAATAAAATTAATGTAAATCCTTTATAAAAGTATAAAATAGGCAACAGTTAATTACCTTTTCAAAAATGTCAATGACTGAAGGGAGATTTATGAATCCACTATATCTAATTCATTTAGGTAACCATGCAAGCAATCAACAATAAAAAGTTGAAAATAAAAAGTTGGAACAAACCCATTCACCTTATTAATATGAATATGCCTCAAAACAATTTTTCCCATTTTTCTAAGGACTGGGTTCCCAACTTTCGGGTTGCAACCTCAGTTGGGGTTGCAGAGTACTTTTCGTGGGAACGTGGCGGACTACTCTAAAACTTTTGAATAAATGCTATGTTTTCATGAAAAGTATATGGGTACAAGAGCTTGCTAAAAGGTTCTAAGCCTGAATAGGATAGATCGATTTGGTTGAAACAAACTTTTGCCACCAACAAGTACGATCATTGAATGAATCATAGACATTAGAACTGCAACTGTAGTGTTATTATTGTCTTCATACCAGGCCATCTTGTGGACCTATGCATTGAAATCACCAGATATGGACAAACTGGCTAAAGGGGAGCCACCAAGTACCTGCAACTGAACGGACTAACCCAAACACAAATACATGCTGACATGGTCCCTATTTTAGGGAATGATGCCCCTTCCTTTTCCACAGTAAAGAAGTGGGTCATCAAAAGTAACCATTCAAGAAAACATTACCCGGGTGCATGACATTGTGATGGCTGATTGACCACTCAGCATACTGCCAGTGTTGTGGGAATGATGCCCCTTCCTTTTCCACAGTAAAGAAGTGGGTCATCAATAGTAACCATTCAAGAAAATATTACCTGGGTGCGTGACATTGTGATGGCTGATCGACCACTCAGCATACTGTTAGTGTTGAGGGCATCTCTCATGAGAGGGTTGAGAACATTATCGATAACAGGTTAGGAATGACAACAAATACATGCCAACATGGTCCCCACTTTAGGGAATGAATGCCCCTTCCTTTTCCACAGTAAAGAGGTGGGTCATCAACAGTAACTATTCAATAAAACATTACCCGGGTGCATGACATTGTGATGGCTGATCGACAACTCAGCATACTCCTAGTGTTGTGGGCATCTCCCATGAGAGGGTTGAGCACATTATCGCCAACAAGTTAGTTTCTGCAAGATGGGTGCCAAATCCCTTGACTGCAGATCAAAAACGTGTCAGATTCCTGGCAGAACCTGATAATATTTTTGGCCAGATTAGTAACCATGGATGAGACCTGTTTCTAAAAATGAACTAGCCGGTCATCATTTTCCTAATAATGATGACACCATGTCAGCTGAAATGAAAGACTTTTTTTTGGTTGGCTGAAGAAAATTTCTTCCTGACTGGCATCCAAGCCTTACAACATCGTTGACAAAAAAATGTACCCCTCGAAGGGGCTATGTAGAAAAAACGTGGAAACCATCGACTTTGTACAGGTCTTTCACAGATAGACTAAGAACTTTTCCGCCAGCTCTTGTAAATCTCTGATCTATCTATACACCTCTTGCCACATTTTCAATCATCTTTCCTCTCTTACGCTCACGGTGTGTTTCCTCAGTCTCTCATTACAATATTTTGATCTGTAAATAATGATGATGTTTCACAGTAAAAGGCGACTTTGTTCTTCGATCAGATGATGGTTTCTGGAATGGAGTCGAACCAACAAAAGGTTGCCAAGCATTGCATGAAGGTAAAATAAAAGTTCTTGTCCAACAATTGCAACAGCAGATGAACTCAAACACACTGTGTAATTAAAACAATAGGTGGCACTAAAAACTATGACAGGCATCTAAAAGGAAGCCACCCTGTAAGATGCTTTTCTTTCTTTTCATGTGTTTAAAGTAGTGTTGCAGTTTTACGAGTTATTTTATAAAGTTACAATAAATAATCATACATCTGTGAAATTATGACAATCTTCAAACAATGGATTAATATATATTTTTGTTATGTGTAAAAATTATTGTGGAAATTCAAAATATTTAAACTGTTTGAAACGATATAGGGTTCAATGTCTTGCTTTTTTGCACCATCTGGGCCAATGAAGACGGGCATAGGCCATGGCATGCAGTGTGCTATGAGGGTAATTTTCCATGACAGTGACACTACAGTCTACTCTTATTTCATTTCAGTATACTCAGATGACTTTGTTGAATAGTTGAGGTTATAGAAAACGGGCCTGTTCAGTTTCAAAACATGGTTCATGTTAAAAAGCTTCTATGTGACATGCAGGTCATTTTTCTTTTGTCAACTTTGTTTCCAAGTAATTTAGTCCTTTATACTTTACATAGTCCAATTAGAAACTTCAATCTGGATGGAAACAACTCTTTTCACACAAAAATACTTAACCTCTGTAACGGGACAGAGCAAACATTCTTGTCGTATTCAGTAAAGTTTTAGATTCTGGAATGAAAACACTATTCGCATTCGGAGCAGGGAGTAGTAAAAAAATCTGTTACCTTGTATCTCTAGAGGAAACAACTATGACCATGACCGATTGATTACGCATTGCACAGTTTTTCACTGCATTTTATTCAGATATCGAGGTATGAAACAACATAAACCTTTGAAGTCTAAAAGTATCAAATTTTAAATAAAAAGAATAGGAAATATTTAAATTTACTGTACATATCAATTCATTGTCAAGTCGAGACATTTGACTGCTGATCAATTAGAGCATTATGAACAGTCTGACAATCTCAGATTGTTAAACTTTTTGACATTTATTTATCCCTGAGGATTTCTTTACAAAAAGCCAATTGATTGATCTAGTAGTGTCAATAGTTCTGAATATCCCTGATGTGGAGCTGTTAACACACTAGGAAAACATCTAGGACAATAAAGTTTTATGAACAAGCTAGCCTAGATATATGTAATTTCCAATTGTTCAGAACAGTTAACATTTTGCATTATTTCATAAATATAATGATGAATTTCCTGATAAAGCTGTTTG